ACCTACCTGCACCTGGCCCATATCTCTCCAAGCCCTCCTTATTCGTGTACTTATCCAAATGTCTCTTAAACGTTGTAACTACCCCCATCGACCACTTCCTTTGAAAGTTCATTCCACACGTGAACCACTTTATGTTTAAAAAAGAAAGTTGCCCCTCATATCCTTTACAAATCTTTCTCCTCTCGCCTTAAAAATCAGCCATGTAGTCTTGAAATTCCCCACCCTTGGGAAAAGATATCTGCCATTTGCCTTTATCTTTTTCCCCTTATGATTTTAAAAACCTCTATAAAGCCACCTCTTCAACCATCAATGCGCCAGTGAAAAAGATTCCAGCTTATCCAGCCTCACCTTTTTATACCTCAAACGTTCCATTTCCAGTGACATCCTGGTAAATCTTTGAACCCTCTCCAGCTTGATAATAAATAAAAATAGGAATTGCTGGAAAAACTCAGCAGGTCTGGCAGCACCTATGGAGAGAAATCCAAGTTAACGTTCCGAGTTGAGTGACCCTTTAAAAAGCTTAATACTATCCTTCCTATAACAGGGTGACCAGAACTGGACACAATTCTCAGAAGAGGCCTCACCAAAATCCTGTACAACTTCAACATTACGTCCCAACTCTTATACTCAATGGTCTTAGCAATGAAGGCAAGTGTGCTAAATGCCTTCTTAACCACCCTGTCTTTGTGATACAAACTTACAAAGAATCATGTACCCGAACCCCTAGGTCTCTGTTCTACAATACTACCCAAGGCCCTACTTTTAATTATCCTGTCCTTGTTTGCTTTACCAAAAGGCAATACCTTGCATTTATCCAAATTAAACTCTGCTAGTCCTCAGCCCATTGACCCAATTGATCAAGATCTCTTTGTAATCTTATAGTAGACAGTGAAGAAGGTTATGTACACCAATTTTGGTGTCATCCGCAAACTTACTAAAGCAGGGGTGAACTATCTCTCTGTAAATCAGAGCACACAGCAGGCCCTCAATTCAGCTATAGACCTGTTAGTTTAATATCTTTTGTTGGGAAATTGTTAGAATTTGTTATTAAGGAAGTATAACAGGACATTTGGAAAGTCAAAATACAATCAAAATCAGCATGGTTTTATTAAGAGTGAATCATGAGTTCTTTGAAGATATAACAAGAAATATGGATAATAAGGATCCTGCAGATATGTCTTCTAGAAGACATTTGATAAGGTGCCACAAAATCTTAATACAGAAGGTAAGATCACATGGGGTTGGGCTCCTTTAGCTTGAATAAAGGATTGGCTAACCAACAGGAAGCAGAGTTGGGATAAATGGGCCTTTTTCTTGTTGATTAGATGTAACTAGTGGGGTGCTGACGCTGATTCTTGGGGCCCAATTATTTACAATCTATATGAATGACCTGGATGCGGGGATAGAAAGTACTACAGCCAAATTTGCAGATGATACTAAAGTAGGTGGGAAAGTATTTTGCAATGGAGAAATAAGAAATCTACAAATGGATATAGAAAGGTTAGATAAATTGGCCAAAATCTTGACAGATGAAGTTTAATGTTGATGAATGAGGTTATCCATTTTGGTTGGTGGAATAGAAAGGCAACTTATTATCTAAATGGAGATTAACTTCCGAGTTCTTTAGTGCAGAGGGATCTGGGTGTTCTCGTACATGAATCACAGAAAACTAGTATGCAGGTACAAAGGAAGGCAAGTTGAATTTTGGCATTTATTGATAAAGGAATTGAGTATGTAAGTAGGGAAGAGTTGCTGCAATTGTACAAGGCATTAGTGGGACTGCACCTGGAGTATTGCATACAGTTCTAATCCCCTGGTTTGATGGTGGATTAATTGCGCTGGAGACAGTTCAGAGAATCTATTGCAAAAATGAGGGGTTTATTGTATGAAGAAATATTGACCAGTTTAGGTGTATAGTCTCTAGAAATTAGATGAATGAGGTATACAAGATACTAAAGGGATTGACAAGGTAGATGTAGAAAGGATGTTTCCTCATGAGGCAATCTAGAATGAGAGGTTATAGTGTTAGAATAAAAGGTAATAGATTTGCAACAGAAATGAGGAGGAATTTCTCTTCTCAAAGGGTCAAGAATCTGTGGAAATCACTATCCCAGAATTGGTGGAGCTGAGACATTGAGTAAACTTAAGGAGGTGATAGACAGGTTTTAAATTGTGTGTTGTTGGTTATGGAGACCAGACAGGAAAGTGGAGTTGAGGCCAAGGTGAGATCAGCCATGATCATACTAAATGGCCGAGCAGATGCTAAGGGCTGCATTGCCTACTTCTGCTCCTGGTTCTTGTGTTTGGAGTTGGAAAGTGCTGCATGAGTGGGATGGAAACATGCTGAACTGTAACCTGCGGAACTCCACTTGTCACTGGCTGCCATCCGAAAAAGACCCCTTTATCTCTATTCTCTCTCTCTCTTCAGCTAGTCAGCCAATCCTCTATCCATGCCAGTACCTTGCTTCTAACACCATGGGCTCTTATCTTATTTAGCAGCTTCCTGTGTAGCACCTCATCAAAGGCCTTCTAGAAATCCAAATAGGTCGCGTTCACTGGCTTTCCTTTACCTAATGTGCTCGCTATCTCCTCAAAGAGGTCTAATAGGTTTGTCAGAGATCACCTCTCCTTGACATATTTGTGCTGACTGAGCCCTATTTTGCCTTGCATTTCCAAGTATGTCGACCAAACACATGTTCTTTGTAATCTCATCTTTAATAATGGACTCTTTAAAATCTTACCAATGACCAAGGTCAGGCTAACCAGCCTATATTTTTCTGTCTCCTGTCTCCCTCCCTTCTTAAAAAGGGGTATTACATTAGCCATTTATCAGTCCTTTGGGACCCTCCCTGAATCAAGTGATTCCTGAAAGATTGCCACCAATACCTCTACAATCACCTCCGCAATTAAAAACAACACCACCTGCAAACTCTCCTCCAAACCATACACCACTCAGACTTGGAACTAAATAGCTATTCCATCATTGTCAATGGATCAAAATCCTGGCATTCCCTAGCTGACAGCATGGTGGGTGCAAGTACGCACAATGGATTACAGTTCTTCAAGAAGACATCTCACCAGCACCTTGTCAAGAGCAATTAAGGATTGGTAATAACTGCTGGCTTAGCCAGCAATGACCATGTCCTGTGAACTAATTTTTAAAAAAATCTATTTTTAAATTCCTCCATGGTATTGTCCTTTCCAAAGTTGACTCTTTCCCCTAGCCCAAACACCCCAATATATCTGCACTTCTCTAATCTTGGCCTTTGAGTGTTCCCAATTTAATTGCTTCAGCATTCGTGACTGTGCCTTCAGCTGCCTGGGATCCAAAGCTCCAAAATTTCTGCCACAAAACACTTGTGACATCAAAACGTGACTGGCAATATTTATTGCAGAAGCTTCGTACAATATTTTTGAAGCATGTTGGAGCATAAATTTTTTAGCTCTTAATGGAAGCAATGTCATTTTTGTACCCTTTATTCTTGTACGTTGTTCTCTTTAAATAACAAGAATGATTTATCAAAGTATCTTTTAAATTGTGTCATGATCTCTACTTCAGATGTTTCTAAAGAATTATCATCAGCTGTGGAAAATGTCCACAATTCATTTTGAAGGAGCTCCACATCAGCTGGTAACTCAGTAACAAGGATTATCTTGAATTATCATTTCCAAATCTCTTGAACATCTTTACTGCACATCCACTTCTTAACCTTGCAGGGTCCAGCAAGTAAATTACCAGTTGTCTGGTTTTGAAGCTTCACCAGGTTGACATTTCATTTT